CTCTTGATTCCCCACAAACAAAACATGCATGGACCAGCATCAGAGCTTGTTCCAGACCCAGCTATGGCCTCTGTGTTGCCTCTGGCTCGCTCAGACTTCCAGTAGCTCCAGCGGGCCCTGAACAGTGTCGCTCTGAGCCTGGGGCCAGGTACACACAGCCTCACACACACACAACACACACACACACACACTGACACACACCACGGCCGAGCATTCACCAGCCGCCTGTGTGCGCACATGTGACACCAGCCATAAATCATAAACCCCATTGTCCTTGTCGCCTGTAACGCGCATCATGGAAATCAATGCAGGGGTCAAAACGCAGACTCTGGGCCCTGGAAATATCACAGGGGCCAATAAATAGGGCCCCAGCTAATACAGCCGTCACACACACACTTTCTCACCCCATCGACCCGCGGTAAGAGGGACGGTTATTCTGCACACATCAGTGGATGCAAAGGCGCGGAGGCTGGGGTAAATGTCAGGGTGGACGGAGGATTCGATTGGCTCCTGAGACCTTTGGGTGCAGTTTGACCCCCTGACTTAAAGGGGATGGCCTGGTCGAGTCGTTTGTCTCTGGATGGGATCGATGCGCTGGTTTAGGGTTCTGTGAGAGGAATAGTAGAGGAAGTAGTAATGTACAAATGTAGGGATATGAATGTCAGGCCGTTTCTGTGACCACAGACAACATGAACGCAATATATCGGCTCATTGGGCTTCATTTATCAAGAGTTGGAGACTGAAAAGTGACTAGCTCCCCGTAAAATTTGAGCTAACTTATTCATTATGCAATTGTCCTGTATAACTAAACCAGGGAAATTGCACATGCTATTATAATGTTCTACCGCATTTTAGCTCCTGGTTTGATAACTAATGCAGTTTCTTACCCAATAGTGAAAACAGAGTGAGGCAGCTGTAACATTCTGTTTTGTTTACTATTAACGTAGCTGAAATAGTTAGCATTAGTAAACGCTTATATGTCTCGCATCCCCAGAATCCTGATTATTTACCACAGTGACTGCATTTCACACCTTTCAGAGCCCAGAGCAAGTTTTGCCACCACGGTAGCTCGATCTCCCCCCCCCTCGATCTCTATAAACTCTACCTTCCCCTACTTTATAAAAACAAATACTAATTTTAGTCACAGAAAGACATTCATATGCATTCAAGAGGTGGTGTCACGGCCCGAAAGACCTAAAACGGCACAGTCGACACCATTACATCCGCTGATAACCTCTCTGAATGAGTAGGTCAGGCAGGTGGAGAGCTTTCTACAGCTCCGCGGAGGGACAGGGAAGAGGAAGGAGGGGAGGGGGGAGAGGGGAGATGGGAGAAGGGGGACGTGTCGCTGTGCTCTCTGTGTGATGCCAGTCTCAGGTCACTGTGCCTTGCTCTGCTCTCGCTCTGTCACAGAACAACCACCTCTCCTCTTTCTCTACAACACACTCACTCTCTCTCTCTCTCCCTATCCCCATCCCTTTTTCCTTCACAATTCACAATCATGTTTTCCAGCATGTTGCGTTTCAGCGTGTCTCAGAGATTGACATAATCGAGAGCCACACAACCAATTGTGTTATATATTTTTCAGCAGTTGGGGCGCTGGGCCTCGCTGGGACACACTAATCTTTGTTGCAGTCTCCTTCTTCCCATTCCATTTCGAGCTGATAATTTGTAAAAGAAAATGTAGATTCAGATTCATTTGAGTTGCCATTTAAAACCGTTTTAATAGTTCAGATGAACTGATAACAGATTGTGGGAAGAAGCTGTTAGAATATCCAGATACCAGAGGGAAGAAGCTGGAACATGGCAAAGTACAAGTCTAAATATCTCAACAGGCAGTTAAAGTATTGCCAATCAATTTAAGTTGGTTTTAAGGAGTGATTTAAAAGAAGGTACTGATGGTGCAAGCTGCGCAGGTCGTTCCAGAGCTGAGGAGCCTGGACCGAGAAGACTCTATCACCCTTTGTCCAGAACCTGGTCCGGAGACTTGTCCTTGGATCGGCCAACAGGGACCTGCCCGAGGATCTAAGGCTGTATTTGTGTTTTGGCCCAACTATGAACACAACTCTTCATAAATGTTTTGGGACATCAATTTCCTCCAGACTCAACTATATCTATAACTGTTGTCCCATGTAGTAAAATCCATCTAATAATGTATAGCCCCCCCCGGTTTGGTTCTATGATTAGTTTTCATTTTTGGCTTCTGTCACATCTTCAGATCAGCTTTTTCAGATAGGAAAGTGAAAAACAGAGGACCAGCTCCCTCTCAGCCAATCAGCTCTCAGTACTGTAAAAGTAGGTGCAAGAAGGTCCTGGGTTCGACTCTACCTCCAGACAGGGCCTTTCTGAGAGGAGTTTGCATGTTCTCCTCTGTCTGTGTTTCCTCCGGGTGCTCCGGTTTCCCCTACCACCGTAAACATGTGCATGAGCTGGGACCAGGACTCCGCTGAAAAAGAGATTCTGAAATCTCAGTGGGACTTTCCAGGTTAAATGAAGATTAATAAATAAATTTTTCCCTCAGCAGCCTCGTTTGTAAGGAGCAAGCTCTGGGTTCTTGGTCAAAAAACCCAGGTTTTTATGCAGTGGAAATGAGTCTATAGTGAGCAGTTGATGTCTTGGGGACTGGTTTTCATACTGTGACATGCATGCAGATTAGTCTTTCCTCTCTCGTTCTCTTCCTCCTTTGCTCCGTGGCTTTTCCCCTGCCTTGACGCCAGATCCTCTTGCAGATAATAAGTGTCATTAACCTGATTTTTGCAGCCAGGCTTCGGCACACTCACCCTTCACCTCGCTCTCTACTCTATCCCCCTCCTCTCCCCCCTGCCTCTCCCTCCTCAGAGCATCAGTGAGGAGTGTGGCTGATGATGATACGGTCACCACGGCAACCACCACGGTGTAAGGGCCATGGGGGGAGGGGGGTAATGATGGGGAGGCACACCAGGTGCACATGGGGAGGCGTGAACGCAGTCAAGAGCCATTTACACGCCGACAAGTTCACGACGGAGGGAAGGCGCTGCTGTCATTGTTGCATCTTGGCTTTTTTGAAATTGGTAAAAGAAACTATTATCGTGTAGCAATCGTTTTTTTGAATAAATAATGTACATGGGGTTGGAGTCTGTACATTTTGCTTCTTCAGACTCCATTTCCAGCTGATAACTTGTAAATAAAGTTGTAAACATAATTGTGAATATATAGATTAATGCATGCAACTATTTCTGTAACACTAACACACTAAAAATTGAAAATAAAAATAACGATAATAATACTAATGTTTACAAAGTGCTACACAGTCAGCACAAAGCAATAGATAATAACAAATACATTTTAATATAGGTGATCACAAATAACAAATACAGAAGAATAAAGCAGACAGCGAGCAAACACAACAAAAAACAAAACAGCAAAAAGAAAATAATACAATATGTAAAAATCTCAACAGACATTTGATAAAAATGGGTTTTAGAAAACAAAACAACATACTTTCTTTTGATTTGTGGTGAAGTCCCCAGCTGTTGAAAGCCTTGACCTGTCCAATTGAGCTGAAATTGCGTCATATGAAATGTGCTATATCAAAATATTTCCTTCCTTCCTGCCTTGAGAACAGTGAGTATGTGCCAGCGCAGGAGAACAGAAATGAAAGACATATTAAAGTCAGAGAGAAGGAGCAGAGAGGCGAGGGGGAGCAGCTGTCTACCATGGGGGAAATATACCAAAATGTACAAAATGTGGCTTTAAAATAGAAAAAATCACACTCAAGTGACCAGCCTGTTTACTTTTAATAAAGCTGTGGTACATAAATAATAATCCTTTTTTTCTCTAACCGAAAGAGTCTTGTGAAAGTAAATATCTTGTGAACGAATGTCTCTGATATCGTTTGCGGTTTTGTAAGAAAGAGCCCTGCACGGGTGGTCAGTTCTTTTTACTTTTCTGTCTAAAATATCTGACACAAAGACTGTTTTGAGAGCCAGGGACTTCACATTTATTGTTTAGTTTGAGAGCAGTTACCATATAATGCCTGTTTTTTTTAGAATACTCTCATCATGTCCTTCAGTACATCTTCAGTACTAAACCGGGTCGTCTAGTTTAAGTAATATTGACGCCTGAGTCCAGTCCAGACCACTTTTCCTCTCTCTACTTTGACCGACACCAACAATGACAGCCTGCTTTACACCGCAAACCATACTTCAATCATTTATTAGCTGCTTAATGCACACATGCAGAGACAGAGAGAGAGAGAGAGAGAGAGAGAGAGAGAGACAGAAACAGAGAGAGACAGAAAGACACAGACAGAGAGAGAGAGAAAGAGAGAGAGAGGGAGGCGGACACAGAGAGAGACAGAAAGACACAGATAGAGAGACACAGAGAGACACACAGAAACAGAGAGACAGAGCGAGAGAGAGACACAGACAGAGACAGGGAAACAGTGAGACAAAGAGACAGAGGCAGATAGACAGAGACAGAGAGACAGTGAGACAGAAAGACAGAGACACAAAGACACAGAGAGACAGAGACAGACAGACAGACAGACAGAGACAGAAAGACAGAGACACAGAGAGATAGAGAGACAGAGACAGGCAGAGAGACAGAGGCAGACTGAGACAGAAACAGACAGACAGAGACACAAAGACACAGAGAGACAGAGACAGGGAGACAGACAGACAGAGACAGAAAGACAGAGACACATAGACAGAGGCAGAGACAGAGACAGAAACAGAAAGACAAGCAAACAGACAGAGACACACAGAGACAGATAGAGACAGAGACAGAAATAGACAGAGACAGGGAGACAGTGAGACAGACAGATAGAGAGAGAGACAGAAACAGACAGAGAGACAAAGAGACCAAGAGACAGAGACAGAAACAGAGACCGAGAGACAGAGACAGACAGACAGCTCGGGACTCCCCCACTCCAGCACATTGTTGCCCCCCCTCTGGCTGTCCTCCTGCTGTCTGCGTGTAATCACTGACCACTCTGTGATCCCGTGGGTCTAAGGTGAGGGTCAGCGGTGAGAGGGGAACCACGCATCAGTGCCAGGTCGGCCCCCGCTGATCACTGCTTTTGACATTATGGCCCACAACACTGGCTCCACAAACCCTCTGCTCTGCTCCACTGGGTTACTACACGGTTTTGGATTTTTGCTTCGTTGGTTATTGTCAACCCAAATCACAACAGCAGCCGTCCCGCAGGGCTTTACAAAGGTGTTGATTCCTTAAAAACAGAGAATTAGGAAGATAATAACAAACATATAGGAGCAATTGGTTCATAAATGTTAATACATGTCCTTAAATGTCCTGGGTCATCATTATCCTTGGACCTTACTGCATCGGTTTAGTTTAAATGTGTAAAGTTTGGATCATTTGGATAACGTAACTTTCTTATTGCCACATGTAAAAAAAAAACATGCACAATAGAGCTGGCATTTTACGTCCTGCTCTCATCACTATGTGGAGGAAAAAAGTAAAGCGTTTCTTATGTGTTTTTGTTGATAATTGAACAAGAGAGAAATTCCATGTCAGAAATGTTTTGATACTACATGAATGCAATGAGGTTTTTCATTCTTTTTAATTATTAGTACTATTGTTGCAATTGCCTTGGAATTGTTGTTTGAAGAATGAATACAAGGGGGAGGGAATGACATTTTAAAATAAGTCAAATAATCCAGAATTTAAGTTTAAGAAAAATGACACTTCTGGAACTAATTCTGATGAATGATTTTTGGCAGTTTGTATATTTTTTTATAATCTGACCAGTGACCGACCAGATGTCTGTGACCTGCTTCTGTCCATCCACAAAAATGTGCCACAGTAAATTACATTAAATTGATCCATCTCTAAAGTCATAAGCAGGTGACAATGGCGGCTCAGTTTACGAGTGGGAATATTGACGATGCTACTCATGGAGAAAACCCATGTATTCTGAAGTATACATTTCTAACTGGAAATGGCTTGAATGGGAAAAACAACAATGTCATCAACAATGTCATCATCTCAACTTTACAAAGCAATCCCCGCGCTTAAATGTGAAGTTTTTTCTCTGGTCGTATCAGTTCAAATCCAAAATGTGGATGTTCGTCAACACAAATGGATAAACCCAAAACTAACGGCAGAACAGTGAGTGCTGCTGTCCCCGCACTGGTCCACACAACTCTCGACACACACTTCACACACACACACACACTTTGTCACTTCTCCAGCGACATGTCCACCCACCAGCAGACAGTGCACTCACTAACCCCGAGGTTGAGGGTCCCATTTCTGCTTCATGTTTGTGGCTCCAGTGTTTTACCCCAAATGGCTTCAAACATTTGTTATTCTTTGGAGCAAACAGAAGAGTCAATTTCTTTTGCTGCTGATTTCCTTCATCTTTCTTTTAAAATATTTATACAAAAATAACATTCGATATTTTATCATTTACACCAATAAACACAAACAACTCATTTCTCTGTTGCTCTAAGTTCAGAAGATTCAAGTGACATGCCATAGGAACCTAACCGAAGAGCACAGGGACTGGCCTCATGCTGAGACTCTGAGAAGCACAGGGACTGGCCTCCTGCTGTGACTCTCAGGAGCACAGGGACTGTCCTCCTGCTGTGACTCTGAAGAGCACAGGGATTGGCCTCCTGCTGTAACTCTCAGGAGCACAGGGACTGGCCTCCTGCTGTGACTCTCAGGAGCACAGGGACTGGCCTCTTGCTGTGACTCTGAGGAGCACAGGGACTGGCCTCCTGCTGTGACTCTCAGGAGCACAGGGACTGGCCTCCTGCTGTGACTCTGAGGAGCACAGGGACTGGCCTCCTGCTGTGACTCTGAAGAGCACAGGGACTGGCCTCCTGCTGTGACTCTCAGGAGCACAGGGACTGGCCTCTTGCTGTGACTCTCAGGAGCACAGGGACTGGCCTCCTGCTGTGACTCTGAGGAGCACAGGGACTGGCCTCCTGCTGTGACTCTGAAGAGCACAGGGACAGGCCTCCTGCTGTGACTCTCAGGAGCACAGGGACTGGCCTCATGCTAGGACTCACATGGACCGTACATTTCTTGTTTTGTTAATCACTTTGAGTTGCCTTGTGCATGTACTGTGTTATACAAATAAACTTGCCTTTTCTTGCTTTGTTTAATGCCTGCTCCTGCGGCCCCCACTGCACATTGTTTTTGTGTCTTCAAGCAAGACACCTCCCACTTATGCCTGCCTCCACTGGCTTACAAGCAGCATGTGATACTCATGCCTCAATACAATAGACCCACAAACAACAAGCTATGCATGAGTTATCTACAAATAAAAATATAAAATAAAAATGAAATACCTGATAGGTAGAAGTGTGGTGTTTTTAATCCAAACATGGCCAAGTGTCTGTGTTGTCAGTTTAAGTCCGAGCAGTGGAGCGGAAAGAGCCGTGCGTCCTCAAACTATCCCCTCCCAGAGTTGAAAGTGAGGACAGAGCCAGCTTGAGTCTATTCCCCGTGTCCTTTTCACTGCTTTGTAAATCCCTTCTTGTTTTTTTTTTTCTTGTCTTTTTTTTTTCATTCAGCAGCCCCGCTCGCTCCAATAATGATCCGCTCTATCCACGCGGTCCCACTACTGAGGAGCGAAGAGGCAGAGAGAGGGAGAGGAGGATGAGGAGGGGAGGAGAATCCATCATAAGACAGATGAGAGGAGGAGAGAGTTAGAGAGAGAGAGAGAGAGAGAGAAGGGGAGGCCTGGCTGATTGAGTTGGAAGTCGGTGTGGCGTGCACGTGTCTGTGAGAGGGGGGGGAGGCTGATATGGGGGTGTGGGCAGGTCTGTGGGCAGGACGCACTGGAGCTGGTGGGATGGACCCTCCCCGAAGAGCTGTTGTAAAATGGTGTAAGTCATAATGAGTCAATAGCCAGGGATGGGTGTAAATCAGAAGAAGGGTCACTGCTCATTGATATTTTTGTACACTGTGGAAAGTGGGCAGGCGGGGGATTTATTTGTTGTTGGAAATAGTGATTAAGAAAAAACCTGGTAGTAAAAAGATGGCTCCAAATCCATTGTTTTAATCAGGCGTAACAGGACATTTCACGACGGTAATTTCTTAGTCATCCATTGAATCTAAAAGTTTAAAACCAATACAAATGAATGAGGAGATTAGGTTTTTAAATGCTTTCAATATGATTAAAGTCAATTATATAGCCCAACAAATTTCACAACAACAGTTTTTCCCACCAGATTTTTATTTTTGGTAGAGTTTTTCTTTGCCAATGCAGTAGGATCAAAGGACAGTGGACATTTATGGACATTTACCAACATGGGGCGGCACGGTGGCTGAGTGGATAACCTCGCCTCTCAGCAAGACGGTCCTGGGTCCGAATTTTGGTCGGAACAGGGTCTTTCTGAGTGGAGTTTGCATGTTCTTCCCGTGCCTGTGTAGGTTTCCTCCGGGCGCTCCGGTTTCCCCTACCACTAAAAAAACATGCGCACTAGGTTAAATCCTCCAGCTCATGTAGTCCTGACCAAGCCGAGCATCAACATCTGGAGATGGGTTCCCGGGCGCTGTTACTACGGCGACCACTGCTCCTGCTGTAAGCTTTGGTGCGTTCAGACCAAAAGCTTCAAAAAGCTTTTGACGCCGAAGTTAAGTCCGGTCTGAACGCGCCATTAGAGGCCTCAGGATGGGTCAAAGGCAGAGGATGAATTGCCATATGGGGATCAATAAAGTGCACCTTTACCTTTGGATTCATGGTCATTGGTCAACTGCCCCTTATTTATCAATGCATTTCTTGTGTTTGATTCTCTGATCTGTGTTGGCGAATTCATCGGAAAGACCTCCAAGGTAACTGTACCGTTGTGATTTAGGGCTTTGCAAGAATACATTGAATTGAATTGAGTTGAAGTTTAGAGAACTTTACAAAGTTCCCCAACAACGGATTTGAGAATGAAACAAATACAAAAACAAAAATGCGACGATATTTCCAAAAAAGTCATGGATTATCACTGCCCTTGCTGTGGCTTAGTGACTATCTTACGACACGCCCGCAAGCAAAGGATCGCTCCAATCTGGTCTGTACGAAGAACAACATAATATTATGCCAAATTATGAAGTGACATCTTGTTGGCGGGGATGGAATGCTTTGAGGCCTTGCACATATGTCCAGTGTTCACTAAAGCCAATATCAAAAAGTACTATAGCACCTGGAAAACAGAGATGAGTGGTTTTGTTGTTTAAATCTTTTTTTGCCATTATAAAGTTAGTTTGACATGATGACTGAGGGATTTTATCTTTACTCTTTTTAATGCAGGGTGATGATTTATGATTTCCATGCCTTGTGTGACTGCTTCTGTCTTGTTTTGTTCAGCACTTTGAGTTGCCCTATGTATGAATTGTGCTATACAAAATTAACTTGCCTTGCCAGATTTTTGGCAGATTTTTATTATTTCAGTTCCTGTTTCTTTGGAATGAACCAATACAAGGATAAAGAAGAAGAAGGCTGGCCATTATAGACTGTTTGGCCAATAATGCATTTGTTTTATTTACGTGTAATTGAGTATTGGGGGTAAAAATTTGAAATACATGAAACGACATGGTTGTCCTCTTGACACCATTAGCTTTAAAATGAGGTATAACATGCAGCCACACAGCAACCACATATTAAGATAATGCCATCCATTCTGCAAGTGATCATAAAAATATAAAATCAATTCAAGGCCCACTAAAAATGGTCTTTGTGTTCTAAATGTGTTGTCATCTCTAATACACATTGTTTTAATAATTATTACATTAAAAAAAATCTTTACATATATACCCTATATACATTGGGAAGACCAACAAACAATTGTAGCCAAGAACAAAGATACATTTCTAAAAACTGTTGAGGAATCATTCTCACAAAACTCAAGACAAGAGTAAAGGCCATTCTGACCAAACTAATGTCATCTTTACTAATATACAAAATGAATGAGCAAAATATACACCACACAGGAGGACTCGAGCTGGAGTTGATATTTTCCTCATTATCAGTAAATTGGAGAGGGGCCTGACTGACAGCTGCTTCATTATGGGCACAGGAGAGGAGAGCATGGTTCAAATGTGCTATACCTTACCCTACGGCGATAAGAAATGCATCTGCCCACAATGATGCAGGCTTAGCTTCTCAGTTCTCCAGGCCTAAGTATTTTGGGCATGTGTCGTCACTGATTGGACAGGCTTCATATGTCTGACAGATCACGTTAGCCTTGCTTTGCATCAACTACCGTCCACCGCTCATCTGCTGTCACTCAGACCCAGTTCTATCAGAGGAAAGACAAGTGCAAAAATACATCTGTGAAAGGAAAGTCTATAACATGGTTTATCGTTTGCCTTACGTTAATGAAATACTGTAGATGGGTGGGATGGTTTCGATTATTCACAAAGGTTTCTCAATTCTTCTAAGCAAAACATTTCATTGGTTCTTCCTGGATACTCTTTATATACAGAATTCTATAGAAATGCATAGATTAAAAGCAAATACATATACAGGCAATCTTCTTTAGCATTTACAACGAGAGGTCATAGTGGTAGTGCAAAAAAATAATAGACACGACTGGTAGAATTTTGCCTTTTCTTGTAATTTGACTGGGATACGCCTGCTCTGACCACAACCACATTGTCTTTGTCTATTTCATGACACCATATTAATATCTCTAACTTCCTATGACGTCAGTAATTTTTTTTTGTTTAAAGACGCAGTATGTAAAAATCTGGCCAAAAGTGGTACTGCACTCTCCCTGACTCAGGTTGCCAGTTATGCAGACGAATCCAGCTAGAACCATAATATCAGAAGAAAGATTTTTGGCAACAACAAATCTATAACCAACAAATTTTTCACAAAGATAGAAAATGAACCTGGTTTTATCCTTTGTTTTGTTGTTATTGATTTGAGAATCATAACGAGACCTGTTTTAGTTCTGTGAACACATGTTACTTTACCAGTGAGATTGGTAATCTTGACGCTGTGAGTTCTGGCAACCCGGATCACAGATTTTCTGGTTGGTGAAACGGTGGAGGGCGGGACATCGAAATGAAAACAATAATTTTGAAATCCAAATATCTCAGCTGAACTACTGTTATTAGTTAATGAAGTATTTGAAAAGAGCATGACTTATTAATGCCTTTTGACGGATTAGGGCCATTTAATGATGACTTACATGAAAATATTACATATTGCTACTTTAAGCTTTAATTTATTCATTAACATTTGCGACTGTGCCAAAATGCCTGTGTGACGCTGCCAAATCATCCACAGATCACAGATTCAGGAGAAAAGAAGGGGTGGAGTAAGTAAAGACAAGCTGATAGGAACCATGGGAAAATGTGAAAATATCAGAAAGTGAAAATCGTCCTAGTTAAAAGCTCTTTTCCTCAGCAGCTGTGGCACTTTACAGAGTACAACAAAATCCTCTTGAACCTGCACACACTCCACACTCATCTCCTTTGAGTTGGTTTGACCTGATTGTGACAGTCCCTCTTATCTGCTCCTCCAGTCTGGACCGGTTGACAGTTTGTGGTGGGCTGAAGTTTCCCTTGCACACCACACACACACACACACACACGCACACACACACACACATACACACACACACACACACACACACACACACACACACACACACACACACACACACACACACACACACACACACACACACACACACACACACAGCTGCATGTCTTTATTGATGTGTGTTTGTGTGAAAGTGTGGCCTCTTCTGTATACTGCTTCTATCCAGTCGTCTGTCCTGATCGATTGTGCCCTGACAGACGCGGTTATAGATAGCTCCTCCGTCCATCTTATCGGCCGCACGCTTCCTCCTTCTGGCCACTGAGACCAGGGGGGAGGGAGGGGGAGGGTGGAGGGTGGAGGGGGAGGGTGGAGAGGGAGCAAGAAAGGTGAAATCAATTAATGGGTTCTATTCAGTGTAACAAATTATGTCAAATGAGCAAAGCAAGACCTGGCTTCAATTCAACCTCCAGTTTAGAGTGGAATCTTTCTGGGTTTGCATGTTCTTCCCATGTCTGCATAGATTTCCTGCAGGTGCTCCGGTTTCCCCTACCTACCACTGGAAACATGTACAGCAGGTGTGGATATGATGAGTGAGGGAATGACTGATGACGTTCGGAGGCGTCGTGATGCCAGTCTCACTTCCGTCATCACCGTGTGTAGTGAATGGAAAAATATCAACACCCCAACAACGACAAAAACAATACTGCATTTCAGAAGGTCCACTGAATGTCACTTTATCTACTTATAATCCTACCCTATATGTACATAACTTTGCACTATATATATATCAATAGATAGAGATATGTTGATATATTAATATTGAAGCATTTTCAGCTAGCTA